GTCACTTGGCCAGCCCCATAATTTCTTATTTGAATGAAACTATATATTGACTATTTAACTCACCCAAACAATTTTATTTAGAGATGAGTGTCTTCAGTGACTACTAGGAACCAACATTAGTAGATACGATTCTTACTGCAAATTGAAAGCTAATAAACCACAGATCTATCTTACAACCTCAATGTGATAAACAGAACTATTATGAGTGCCAAACCAGAAAGCTGGTGTGAATAACTAAATGGCTTCCAATAAAAAAATCTAGAAGATGGCGGAATAGACAGATGCTGTGCCGACTGCCTCCCAGGATCACACCAAAATTACAAATAATTTATAAGATATTCAACCTCGGAAGTTCCCTGGAAACTAGATGAGCAGAACCTCTAAACGAAGGACTTAAAGAGGAGGCCACATTGAGTCTGGTAAGAGGGGCAAAGATGAGAGAGGGCAAACCCCATGAGGGACACCTCAGCGGTGGGGAGGCTTCTCCGGTTGGGGGGAGAGACCCTCTGGCCCTACACCTACAAAGAGTTACTTTGCCGGGAAGAGCAGTTCTATGATAGCTGGAAGTAGAAATTAATGAGGACTCTTTGTTCAACTCGGTGAGGCTGAGGGCAGCTGGAGAGCCAGTGGAGCCGGCAAACCGACTTGCTCGCTGGTGAGCACTCATGCAGCCCCTGGTGGAGGGAGTAGCTGTGTGAGCGGTGGCCCAGGAGCCTGCGGGAAGGAATGAACTAAGTGCCTTTGGCGCGGGAGCTGGAGGTTTTTGGGACCATTGTTCCCCTGGTGTGGAGCTTGCACACGAGTAGTGTACAGAAGGGCGCTATTTTTTCAGGGCTCAGGTCTGGGACTGCATTGGTCTGGTGGAATTGGCGCAGGAGTGCGTGTGTGCGTGTGTGCGTGCGCATGTGGCCTTGGATCCCCACCCTCCACCCTGCTTGTGCTGCGTAGCCAGGGAAACGCCTGGCAGGCCCACTCTGATTCCAACAGACTGCTTATTGAGACCCGGGAGTGCGGGAGCCGCCTTAGGTTCCCCGCTCTCCGCACTGCATGTGCAGAGTTGCCTGAGTGGCAATTGGCTGTCGGGCTGCTCGGCCTGATCTGCAAGCAGCTGATTGGGACAGGCTGAGACTGGGAGTATAGGGCCGTGAGCTGTGCGCCTGCGTGATTCGGCAAGGGCTTTCCTGGTGAGTTTGTGCGGGCTGGTTGCCGATGCAGGAGTGCATGCTGCTCTGACTTGGTGGGGGCCACTGACCACATCCTGAGGTGCAGAGGTGCGTTGGGGGCCTGTCCCGTCCACCTACAGCCGTGGTGCCTGGCCTCTACCTCCGCAGGCCACAGAGGGTTTATTGCAGCAGCAGACAGCCCACAACAGCCTGTGAGGACTTTTGGTGGTGAGCACGGTTCCAAAGCACACAGAAGCTAATTGCAGGAAGCTCACTTCAAGTCTAGAGGGAGGTCGGCGCATGACGCA